TTAATGTGGGGTCTGCACGGGTATGTGAAGCTTTCACAACCTTTACAACTACTTACATTTCAGAATACTTTTAAGGGGCCTTCCGAATTAACTACCCTCCTTCCATTTTGTTAGCTCGATGATATTAACGCACATTGCTTCCTTCTCTAGGACTACGCAGTGAATCTCTGCTCCTCTGTTCTAACACTTCAACGCTTGGGCAGCAAGATCGTTTGGAAGGCACAAAACGGTCAGATTGGTAGTGGACTAGACTCCGATTTATACCTTCAACCCGTTTTTGACAAGCGTTGTTCCCGCCGTCCCTTGAGATTGGAATCCACCCTTCACGATGATATTGCATTTGTTAACGAGACATTTGACACATTAATAGAGGATCTACGTGGGCTAGCAACGAAGTACTCAATCGAAAGCTTCCTGCCACCTAACCTACGAATAGAAGCCACCGGGACCGATGACTACCAAGTTCCATCCAAGTCCGACTCATTCAGTGACTCAGAGGGACTCCAAGAAACGACTTTGTAAGCCATGCCAGTATCTAACTTTTAGCTACTTCTACTCTATCAATTCAGTTTAATTTGTTTTTAAGACCGTAAAAAGTAGGACAAAGTATTGATGGTGTGGAATGAGGCCAGAAGGGTCTAGAGGGAAGGCTTATTGTCAAGTTGTCCAGACATGTGTCTTGCACAAGTCGTCGTTGGAGCTTTGGGTGACAGACTAATAGATTATAATAGCAACCTAAAAAAAGCATCGGAAATATTTTTTCCCTAGAGGGAATACCAGACTTGACCGTGTCTACTAATATCCTTTGTTAGTAGCAACTCCGATTTCAAATGCCTCTCTACTCCTCTTCTAACAATGCAAAATATTCAGTATTTCTGTTCCTCTTGCCTCGCCTTCCTTCACCAATGTGGTCTCCTTGGTCTTCCATAAAGTTGCAATATGCTCCATTCAACTACCTCATTTCGTAATATGTGAAATTAAGCGGGAGACAGGTCACGGCAAGCACATGTAACCACCTTGCAGCACCATTTTTGGTCAGAAATTCCACCAGCTGCAGGATTTACCATTGTCTATTTAACAACTCCAAGATTACGACAGAAAGTAAAAGTTCAAAGACCAGATGAAGGTTACTTGTCTGACCACTATTTCCCTTCTTCCCTTTCCAGTCCAAAGACACAAAATCAACGATGTGAGGATATTGGAATTACAGACTTTGAAGCCTGTCTCAACCGTTTGAAGGAGGAGTTGGCTTGGTTGCAGGACAATGACCTTTACATACCAATCATCGATACACCATCCAACTATATTTCCAAACTGGATGGTCAATTCTGGCTTTCACCAGGGACCTCTGGACCTATTCGAATGTGCTCAAAGTGGGTTAAAAAGAAATCTCAAGAACTGGCAGTAAGTTTGTGATTTTTACACTGTAGAACCTCAGGTCGTCTCGGAGAGGATGTAGTATTGCATATCTGCAGGCAATTGGTGTATAAAAGATTTTGAAGGCGTTGCAGGCGTAGGAGACTCAAGTTCTTAAACGTTAATCAGCAAACAATGCCTTGCAACCTTCATGAGCAGTCATAAGAGGGCCATGAGGAGCATTCGCATCATCTAAGGATTTTTTTGCAAAACGTAGTCTGTATTTTTGGAGCTTGGGGATGTAAGCTATGTCCTGTCAGTTATTTGTCAACATAAAAGTTGTTAAGGTTGATAAAACAAGGATTTCCAAGACTACAATAGAATACTAGCAAGTACAAGAAGATCGGTCGTAAGTTTGATTGAAGGGTTTGCAGGAATTTGGATCGAGTCAGCGAATAAAGGTTCCATAGCGAATTCCAACCTTCGGCTAGTCGGTAGCTACCGCTATGATGCATTGTAGAAATTGGACACTGCTCTAAAGGCTCACGAAAGACGCTCAGCCCAACTTTGCGCCATCTCGGAGAAAGTGAGCTCAAGCTTAGAGGACATGGAGGCAAGAAGACAACTCCACGAAGCAGCGGACGAGTTGCACGCCTGTATGGATGCGGCAAGAGGCATGATAGATCGACGTCGTACTCGACTCAGTGATTGGTTGTCCACTTGCACGGCTATAGAGGCAGCCATGTTGATGGACTCGGACGGAGAAGAGGTGGATAAGGAGGGGGAACAGGTGCTGCCTCAGTGGATTGCAACAATAAGGAAAAGGCTGGAAAAATCCTCACCCAATTTTGATTCGCCCTCCTGTCAGAAGGAATTGGTACGAACCTGATAAAGTTGAGATGCTTTAAAGCCTTCTTTTATGCACTTATAATGGAAATTATTTGCTCGTGTTTTATTTTTCACATTTTTGCGTTTGGAGGCACAGATTTGCATCCTCCCGTCTTTCCCCAATGATGATGATCCGAAGCTGTCTGGATTAGTAAGTGGTGGTAAAGTAAAGTGGGTTCCACGACTGCGGAAAATTCTGACAATTTTTTTTGCCATGAGGCATTTGGAGGAGGCATACTGCGCAGTCAGAGGGCAGTTTATTACCCAGAAGTAGTTGGAATGGAAAGTTTGTATTGAGCGATAGATATGTCACGTCAGGAGCAAGCCTTTCACCTTAGTTCAAAATATTCAGACTCCTCTGCTTGAAACGGACCTAAAAGGTCAAAGTAAATACTTATTTTTTGTTTGCTTGCTAAATACTGGTCTGGTTACCGTGTTTCTAATTGTTGTTGGACAAAAACGCTAACAGAATCAGAGTTTCAACATTTGCCATTACCCCCTACTTATATTAATAAGTAGAGTAAGGAATGGAACACTCAGCCATCAAATCTATCGAATAAATGGGGAATTCAAAATTTATTTACAAAGATGTTTAGTAGTATGCGTTACCTACCCCTTGTTTCATAAGTTTTCCTCACAATAACTCACCTTTGCCTTGTCTTCTTGGTAAAGGATGAGAAATCTCTGGAGATGTGGTTATCAAAAACTTTCTGCATCCCTGGTTTCGCAAACTGTCAAATAAATTAATCCTTAGCGCTTATTGAATCAAGGCGCTGCAGTTTATGAGAAGAAAAGAAGAAAAGGAAGAAATTACAGGCGAAATTAATAGGAAAGCAGCACAAGGCGGTAGACCTGACGGTTAGATTTGCGAACCATTGGTAGCCGAGTAACATAAACAAAATCACAATTTATTGTCCACCCCTTGACTCATTAAAACATACTTGATGTGGCATTTGAACAAACGACCGGTGCCAAATATTCCTCATTTATTTAACAATGGAGGTAGTGCGTGCCAGCACCACCAGTTCACACGGCCCTGTGAAGACTACTGAAATCATTTCACTTTCAGCTTATTTATGCACTATAGATAGTGTCATAAAATACCACAGTGGTGGGACTAAATTTTGCGGTCTTCACCTAAGGTCATAAAGTTTGATGGTTCTTTGATGAGCACTGCGTCATGCTCCTTCTGCATTGTGGTAGCAAAGGATCTCCTAACGGAGTTTCTTCTCCCTTTTCAAATTTAGAGCTATAATTGGCTATGTCATGATGAACTACAGACCTTGTTGTCCTCCTTCATCAGAATTTACATTTTATAATCTTTCTGTCCCTTTGTACTCTCGACAATTAAGGAGCAATTACGGAGTGAGTTTAGTCCAACCGGAAATGGCACTGGGCAGATTCTGCGAGTGGTTGAAGAGGCGTTTGAGAATTATCAGTCAGATGCACGTCTTCCGCTCCAATCTACGCATCGTAACTGTGGGACTCCACAATTGGAAGCTAGTGTGGTGAAGGACATCGAAAAGAGCCTTACCGAGTGGAAGTTAGTCTGTCGTCTCCTTCGAATTGACCAGGCTGGGAAAATTGTAAGTTTGTGTCTCTTCATTTTCTTGCTTGTTACGTTGTTACGACTAGACAGTGCCGCCACAAGGAATTCGAAGGAGAATGTCTGACAAGAATATATCCCTTGTCAAAGTTTGAATCAACCGCATTACATTTTTTGTCACTCTCTTTTCACAGATACCACCTACGTCTCATGCACATCAGGCTTCAATGTCATTTCCGGATCCAAATCTGGAAGCCTCGGTCCGAAAGCTTGCTTTCTGGTTAGACACGGTTTCTGGCTACCTCAACTCCACTGTTGCATGTCTTGGTGGGGACTTTAACCAAAACGCCGTAATAGCTCACATCAAGGTGAGTTGAATTGGCAAAGCTCTGACCTTTGATGATCGTAAGCAGCAGGAGAGACGATGTGACTAAGTGTCACATCAAATTCATGATGATTGAATGCCCAGTCAACAGAGGTGTCACCTGAAATTATCTTTGTAATGCCACAGGAAGCGTTTAAATTCATCTCAAAATTTGCGCTCTGCGTATACCATTTTAGTAGCGTTCGAGAGAATGCATAACAGATAAAGCAGGAATAGCGGTCTTGTTTAATGCGGTGGACACCTCAAGTGCTCCGCTCCACTCTACCAATCACATTTGCATATTTTTTTCTAAAAGGCGGACCTCGGGAACATTTGTTCATGTGATTAATTGGTGGGCTGTTGCACCGACTGGTAGGAGCCAAGATGCGATCGGTCAGGTGGCGGCCAACAAAGTATATTTGGCCTTTAATGTCTTTCCTACTGGTAGGAGTGGCTTGTCTACGCAAAAGAATTGTCTCCTTACGAAGAATTGTGCATATTTTCTTTTCAATTCCCACGTCATCTTTCTCGAAGTTATTTGAGCACGCATTAATCATTCGATCTGTTGGGTGATTTGTGGAAACGAAAATAAGAAAAGAATTTTTTACTCATCTCATTGTATACTAAGACTTCTTATTCAAGTTGGGTTTTTGGTAATTCACCTTCTTTCTCCTTACTTCAAAAAGCCAAATTTCTTGCCGATTTTTAAAAGGAAAAATGTTGATGCTTTGCATTTCCCTTCGCGTTGGGAAGTGGAAGGAGGTTGCCAAATAAATACTCCTCTAAAAAGCCATCTTTGTTATCTTGCAGAATCGTGTCGGTGATAGGACATCCTATACAGTTCGGTCCCTCTATCCGGCAGTCATTCAAATCCAACTCCAAGTATGTTCTTCAGCACTAAAAAATCACTTTCTCCGCCTTTTTTATTACCTACCAAAAGTAGAGAACAGGGAAAGAAGTTTGATTAATCACAACATATATTTTTTTTCGAATGGAATGAATCAGAGGGTATGGAAGTAGCCCACAGGAAGGCTTCAAGGTGAACCTCCGTAAAAGTCTGTTTGGTCTCTGAAAGGCTTCTGGCAAGGAGAACACTTTTATATTCCTGCACACTTTAATGATTCCTAAAGCATGACCAGACAGTGGATTTAAAAAGTTTTTGACTCCTTACATTTTTAACATATGAAACGGAAGAAGGAGAGACGAAGAAGGAGTGCAGTAACTTGCTGAGGATACTGCAGTTGGGGCAGAGTGAGGTTGAGGCGGAAATCACCTCCACCTGTCAGTACACGGTGTGACGCCGTCAGGTGGGTGCCAGTGTTGAGCTTCTGGTTCAAGTTACATCTCTTCAGAAATGTGATGGTCTTGGCAGAAGACTAGCAGTGATAGACGGATCTTTCAATACTATGGGTGAGGGAGAGGAGGAAAAATGAAATCACCGAAAGTTACTAACTGATTGACAGGAGGTGATTTGTCGATGATAAAGTTATTTCAAGGACAGGCTGTTCTAGTAAAATTTTAGATCATTAATTTAATTAATGCTAAAAATAAGCCATATTTTATGTCGAAAATGACTAATTTGTTTTCAAGAACTGTTTTTGATGGGAAGTTTGTAGATTAAGTGACTCACCTACTGATTCGCGTTGTGTTGGCGTAGCGGTCAAACATCCGTCCGCGTTTACCGGACACAACAAAACAGCCACGATGGACGGGTGAATACAGAGTGAACGAGTAGGAGTGACTAAATGGCTGAGTGGGTGGAGGGATGGATGGAAGAGTTAAGTGATGTATTTCATGATAGTTAGGGGAATGTTTTGCTGGATCAGTAGGCAGGATATGGACATGTTTGTGGTGCCTAGAGAGTTAAAAAGCAAATACGTGAAGTTTTAATGAATGGCGCATAGATAAATACGATGCGAGTTTAATTATCTCCCTCTCTCAATCTTTTCAACTGCGAACCACTTTTAGTTTCCGCTTCAGCGTCATATTCTTCCACTTACCAATCAAGCAGCATGTCAGGAGACTAAAATTTATCGGTGCCTACAGTTTTTTGCACTACGTATGATCATATTCCGTATGCTTACATGAACCAGATTCTTGTAGTTGCCTCTACTGGGGTACCTTTCACACACACACACACACCCATTCACCGTTTTTTTACCATTGGCAAGTATATCAGCCCACGAATGATTGCAAACCAACGTGTGTTCCGTGTGTGTGCATGCGCAGATGTGTGCGTGGCTACGTGTCGGCTAGCCCACTCCTCCCGTTTTACCTTCCCTTTCAGCAATATGCCATCGAGTTGGACGCTCGTAAGCCACAACTCGACAAATTGGCAATCGAAACAGAACGATTAGGCGAGGAATTACGTACCACTTACAACACCTCTGCTGGCCAACTTTCTGCTATGGGCAAGTCCTCTCATTCCTCCTCCCCTCCTTGCTCCACCTCCTTTACTCTCCTCCATTTTTACATATTCAGATTCCATCTGAGCTACTTCTTTCTCTCCCCCTCTCCTCCTTGTGAAGCTCCCACTCCGGGCTTGACATGCAGTTCTATCTGATTGAGTGGTCTGATCTAAGAAAGATTAATGGACGTGTAAAATGAGTACTGAAAGAGGGGAAAAAGGAAGATAATCATGTGTAAAGGAAGACAATTCATTTGTAGAACAAGCTTTGTTTATGCTTTAATTGTCTGTGGCGCATTACATCCGCCTCTTCACACTTTCTCCTCCCGACTCTCTCACTTGCTATGCCTTCCCTTCCCAAATGTCTGGGTCATTTCACCTTTGGTGTAATACGGTTTACCGTGCGTGACCCAATTACTGAGTAAAACAGGAAGGATGAAGATGCGATGAGACAGCGTCCTGTGTTCGAATGTTTTTTTTTTCTACCTCGGCTCTCCCAAACAAAGTATAAGCGTAGGTATTTGGAATGAGCCGATGAATAATTTTGCTATGAAAGTCTTTATCGGCAGTCTGTCATCCGCACGTAGTTGGCGAGGTAATCCTCTTGGGGTTGAAGTGGCGTACGCTTTTGAACCTTTGTGTGGACTGTAAGTGAGAAACAACAATTACCATCTCCGTTCAGTAAAATGATAGGCAAACGATCCTTCCTTATTGAACTTTTCTAGTAGACTTTGCTCGTCTTCTCATATGTTCCGCTTCGTCCAACTACTACTTAGATCCGTTCATCACACTTTAAGTTCTCAAACACTACCACCGACTCGGATGAGCTATTCTTATTGACACCCTCAAAACAAATATTGCTAACTGATCTAAAAATCCGAAACGAGGAGAAAATGAGTAGCAACGCCATAGGACGGAAGGGGTGCAATTTGCTGCTACTCCAAACTTCCTAAATTTATTCACTGCTCTCAAACATTTGTCCACCTTCTGCCGAATTGAAAAGTCATCTTCCGCTTTCCCTTACTCTATCAGCCAAGCTGTCGAATTCAGCATTCTGCGTTTCCGGAGTACTGAACGTTAACTCTAAAAGTCATATTTTCCTGCGTTAATGTCAAGTTCAAACTGGTCGCATTTCTCTCCTGTGCAGACAGTTGATAAATCAATTCAACACTTTTTAAGACCTAGGAAAAAAGCGAAATCTATTTTGCATAGGAGTTACAAGTTACCTTATGGGGGTGGGGGGAGGAAGATTGAGTGCGCCGAACATATAAAATTTAAATGCACTTTCTCAGCTACCTGGTTTCCCCATTTATATGAAACGTATTCCTGATAGTGGATTGGTTTTTTCTTTTCTCTTGTTTCCTCTTTTCCCATCTACTCGACGCGATTTTTGGGTCAACCTGATCGACAGACGGAGGCACACACTCGTCACATTGTTTACTGTAAACCATCTGAATCATGTGGAAATTACTGTGGCACTTTTTTTTTCAAACAAGCGCTTTAAATTTACAACTTTGAAAGGCGATTGGATAGCGCTAATCCTCTCGTCCATTGGCTGATGCAGTGAGAGCAAACATTCCCCCTAGTGCCTTTCTCTGGCGGAAGTAAACAATCTGCAGATGAACAAGTGCAACAGTAAACAGCGTTCCTTTCTAAAGCGCCCGCATGTCGTCCTATTTTACGTCATCACTGAATCGAGTTGTTAGTAACATCAAGCGAACAGTGAGTGAGCTGGTGAATGACACTTCCTCAAGGGGAGGAGGATTGGACAAGACAAATTGTTTGCTTGATAGCAATAGCTTCTCAACTGTGGACATAATTCCAGCGCATTCCCGACGCAAGTCCCAACCGGAGCGCCTTAAAAATTCACCAACACGTCAGGGTAAAAATGATACCACAAAACGGTTGTCATTGGTGGAAATCTTTGGAGACAATGCGGAGACTTCCTCTGCCCCCGATTCTAATTTGGGCGAGGTGGATACTCATTCAAATGAGGTTCTTATTCCTCAAGAAGAAGCTAATAAGAGTAACGATATGTCGGAAACAAGCAAACGATTATTACTGTCGGAGTCGATGAAACGAAACCCGCCTAGCTTGCCATCATTGAGTGTGCTGCCCGAAGAAGAGAATGGTGGAAAATCAACAGCGAATTCTTCTAGAAAATTTGTCAGTTCAGTCGCTCCAGATTCAGCGGTTGGCTCCGCTTCAAGTGGTCCGTCCAATGTAGGTGAACAATCGGATGCCACCTCATCCACTCTTCCAATTGAGCAAAAAGCGAAAAATGCGGATTCCTCTGATCCGGCTGATGCCGCAGGTCTGTAATTCCCATTTTTCCTTCTCACTACCCCGGTTTTTGGCGTCCATTACGAAGTCTTTACAGTGGTCAGTCTTTAGACGAGCAAGTTGCTGTTTATAAAGATTGAAGAGGTGGTTATGGTGCGAACACAAAAGATTTCTCACTTAGATGTCTCTCCCCCTTAATCAGCATTAAAAACGTTTTTATTACGACCTGTTCCCTTTGCAAATCAATTCAACAGAGAGACGTTGTTTAACCCAACGCAGGCTATACCCCAACGCCTATTTCGAAGTTTCAACTGCGCAAAAAACATCGCTTTATAAAAGACGAAATTCCAACTTTGTGAGGGCCAAATATTACTGTCAAATGGGCAGATAAATGAAGCAAAATCATTTACACACCTGTCAAATTTGGCTGATTGAGATTATCATACAAAACAACTGTAATGCTTGCCTCTGGCACAACGTGGTTTGTTTTAACTCACCTTCTTCATTCAATTAATTTCCTGTTAACCGTAGACAAATTCAGGCAGTCTGGGACCTTCCCTTTCGAGACGAAGTAGCTGTGGAGCCAAAGAGCATCCCTATTCCGCCAACCATGTGGGCGAAACCGCTCTGAAGTCAGTGTTTGGGCATAGGGTTCCCTTCCACCTTCACATTCTGATGCACTGTGCAATGTCTTGCGACGACCATTGACTGAGAAATATTGTTAGTCTCCTTTTAAAGAGCTTCTCTGTCAAGGATCCAGTGAAATTGGGACAGAATGAGGCGATAATTATCTAGTACTTTGTTTAATGCGACTTGTGACAAGGAAGTGTGGCGATTTGAAGAAATTCGTATTCTTACTGATTTCCTCTCATTTTGATCTACTGAATCCTTAAAAATCAGGTCTAATGAAAGTCACTTGGGGATGTACACTTAGTTATCCCTTCTAATGACCTCGGTTCCAAACTGGCAAAGGCGAAGCGAGTCAAATCTGTTGTGAATTGTCTGAAGAGGAGGAAAGGGTTGAGTGTCCCTGTTGCATTCTTCGAAGATGTGCCTTTGAACCTTCAGAGCTGGGTAAAATGGAGGATGTAGTGTTGGTCACCTACCTCTCCGTGTAGCCCGCATTCTCAAGTTCTTTACCATTCCATCAAAACTCTCGCGCACAGAGATTACGGTTAGTTATAAAGGCGCTGTCTCGACTTTATCTTCATCCTGCATAATCCACACCTGAAGGTGACTCCTAACCTTGTCAAACTGGCACGGTGTAATCACAAGGAGACGAGAAGGAACAATGCGGCTCGAGGCAGACACCTCTCTAGAGTATCATATCCCCTCACCCTCTGAAAACTAAATCCTGTGTATGCGTTAAATGCCGTATTATATTGTCATATCTGACCTAAATTGCCTCTCATTTTTGGTTTGATCACCTTAGTTGAGGAGGTTCGGCAATGCTGGAATGCAACAAGTGCTCAAGTCAAAGCACGGCTTGATGAATTGGAGAAGATGATGGCGGCAACTGAAGAATTAAAGACGCTGGAACGCGAACTTGACAGGTGGCTTTCACGAGCTGAAACCGACTTGGCAAATGCTCTCTCCAACACCCAAGATGTCGCGGAGAAAAAACGCATCATTCAGGTTTGTTCGTCTATGCATTGAATGTACTTCTAGCATTTATAGGGCATATTTCATGCATAACTTCGCATAAAATTGGCAATAAAATCTCGCGGTTCAAGATACAAATGGCTGTGAGTTATGTGAGTTCAAAATCGCCCCGGTCTTCTGAAATTAAATAAACTGAAGCACTGAGTGCCGGGAGGTTCATAATTGCACTACATTTTCCTACCTCAAAACTAAAAGGCTCCCTAGGCAGAAATGCGAAGAGATGCAGGAAAACAAAGGTGCTTTCGCTTCTTTGGTTTCTCTCCTCTCACCTCATTCATTGGCAAAGCAATTAATTTCGGTTTGGTTTTAACCATTGTAGGATATCATAGACCGCCTACCTACTGGGGAAACAAAATTCACTACACATCAGAATAAGTGTGAAGCGATTCTGGCCAAGTACTCGAAAGAGGACACGCAAAAGTTCCGTGCAGATCAAGAGGCTATTCAAATGCGATGGTCACAACTCGTTTCGAGGTAGGCAACTTTCTTTCCTTCCCCTCTTTTATTAACCCCTTTTCGTAGGACCAACTCTTCGACAATTGTTTTATTTCTCCATTCTGAATGTGACACAGCGCCTTCTTAGATCCATTTAAGGAAGAAAATTGAGCTGTAGGAATGACATTTCAATCTGCTGACCTTCTTTATGGTTATAAATTTTGACACTGCTAGCGGGGACACTGACTATACCAGTGTCTACCTGCCTCAGATGGCAGATCAAAGGCTGGAGCGAACGGATGTAGATTTTTCCCTTCCTATTTAGCTTCCAATGTATCATAATAACTTAGTGTTCTTCACTGAGTCCACAAAATTGCTTCTCGGTCCGTAGAAAATTATTGTCAACACTACGGCTAAGCTGAAAGTGTCAATAGTATCCTCATGATTCAACAGTTATGCGGTGTTTGGTGGTTTTGACAATGAGTTGAAAGTCCGGTTTCTGGTGTTCGAATTCAGGACACCTCAAAACAACAGGAGGTAAAGTTGGTGGCTTCTTTGCAGGTGGTGTCAGCTGGAAGCTGACAAATCGTGGTAGTGAAAAAATACCGAAAAGACCAATCGTTTATGAGATCGGTTCGAAAGGAAGAAGCCAACAGATGACTCCGTTAAATGTTCCTGAATTTTGTTGTAAATTCAAAGGCTAACAGAGGAGACAAATCAGAACTTTAAGAAGTTGTGATGACTTGACTTGTTTTTTCTTTGCAGACTTCGAGAGTCCTTAGAGGGTGCGCCGCAACCCGACTCAGATCTGATCGAGATTCCGATTGCCTCGCGTACTAGAGCTCCAGAGTCGGATCTACAAAAGATAGTCCGGCTGAGAACTGTCTCTTCTCAACAGTCCGGTACCTACAACTCCAGCGAGCATTTTATTCAACCAGAGTCAAGAAGTATGGAGTCATCCATGATTGACAATTACAGAGGTGGAGGAAACGGTCAGGCACCTACTTGCAGCACACTGGGCCGTCATGCTTTTGATCAGAAGGTGGGTATCACGCACAAGACTGCTCTCTCCTTTCTTTGGTCCTTTTCCACTTAATCTTACGAATAAAGGCGGGAAGTTGATGAGACATCAGTGTAAGGAATGTGGTTTCAATCATTTATCGTTGAAATAGGTTGCGATTTTTCGCCTCCCTGTTATTTCACCTCAGAGTCATCCCATCGGAAGGGACGGGGAAGAAGGTTACAAATAAGGGCCTTGTCAGCTGTTGATTCCTTCTGAACTAGTTAAAAGTAGAGTCAACTCTATCGACGGAAAACAATAGATAGCAGTGAAAGAATATCAGCAAAAGTCCTTCTTTTCTCCCCTTTTATTACTAAATAACAAAAACTTAATGGGACTTTAATTTTCCTTCTCTTTATTTCGGTCCTTCGTCCTCCTTTGTCTCAATTAACCATGTTGACAATACTCCCTTCCAAGGCAAAGAAAAGGAAATTGATGACAAAGCACAATTCACTCAAATCACTGCAAGTGGTTTCCTTGCAAAGAGTGGGGGGAAGAGATCGGAAGGAGGAAGGTGTTTGTTTATTTCTTACCTGTTATCGTCTTTTTTTAGCCACCCCTGTTGGGTGAGTCTTATTGTACTCATCAACTTTCCCGCAGTGCTGACATTCGCTCCCGACCCTTCGATTCTTCCAGGTGCTGTTGATGCAATTAATTTTTAAAAATTGGAAATTATGTACTTTTTTGTGTATCTAATGCGCATGTGATAAAATCCTATCCAAGGTCACGCTTATTTGACCCAGAAGTGCAGACAGGAGGGATCATTACGGTGGTCAGTTGAGATGGCCTGACTTAGGAGGATGACATCTTGCATTAGTGCTTAGGCAAGCTAATACAAGTTGAGTAAATCTTAAAAAAAAACAATTTAAACAAATTATTTGTAAAAGTGTGTAAAATGTTGAGACTGACGTTCCTGAAATTTTGTGGGGACCTGTAAGACGTTATTTTCAATCTGTCTCTTCCATTGAAACTTCTTTACTTCGGTTATTTAACCTCTAAAGTTGCTTTTTTTTGTTTCTTTGGAGGAGGGAGGAGGGGGAAC